TAGTAACTACGAAGAGTGCCCAAAAAAGCATACACATTTTAAGAAAGGATAAAACTGTATTAACATTGCAATACTCAATATATACTGATAACAAAAGATGAATACAAATCACATTTGACTTCTGCAATTTCAAGAGGTGCTCAGTGTCCGGACACTTCTGATTATGGCTAACTAAAAGTAGTACATAGATAACATCTCTTAAGATGCATATATATATTTTTTTTTTTTTTGGCACCCCTGGTATTAGCATAAAGTGGAGTAGGAAAACTTCCCAAAGGGTGAATTTTGTTCTCAAGGACTGTGAGGGACCTAAACTATGCTATGTGGAGGAAAAATAGTGTCACTGATTCAGACAAAGCTGGGTTTGAATCCCAGTTTCCTGCTTATTGACTGTGTGATCTTGCAATATGCTTCCTGAGCCTCGGTCTCTTCATTGTACAAGTAAGGTAATGACAGTACCTACCTCAGAGCTTTGTAGTGAGGATGAAATAAGGTATGGCATATAAAGCGTACCAAAGCACAGCACCTCACTCAGATAAAGCTACCTGATGAATTAATGAATGTGTATTTTTAGTGAAGTGGCATGGAAGAAACTCCAGACACTCTTTAGCATCTGCATGAGATCTGAAGGAGGAAGAGATAATTTCCAACAAGAACAGGCTCAACATGTAACCACCTGCCTCTTACCATGTGTTACCTAATGTTGAAAACACTGGAAAATCAGAGCTATCAGAACAAACCACTCCCACTGAATGCATAGAAAAAAGCTGCTGTTTCAGATCATAGCCACATGGTTGCTGGACCTGAGAGCGTCCCTCAGATTGTGATTAAGTATAGAAAAGGATGAACACAGGGCCTGACACATATGGAATAGCCAATCATGTGAGCTCCTTTCCTACTCTCCTCCTAAATGGGTAGAAACAAATGCACCAATAACCAACAAACACAACAGAAAAACTGAGTCAAAGTGGTTAAGAACAGATCGTGGTAGTGATGTTACTGGACTGATCCTTCACTCTTCACCCTGGTGTGACTTGTCAGCCTAGAGAGCCTGAGCAACTGACCCTAGCAGAAAAGTCTACTGTCACAATGTCACTACACATCCTCTCTCCTCTTTATGAATGTTGGGGGATGGGGGACTGGACATGATGAGGTGGGATCAACTTGCAGCCTAGACTGCCAAAACTGTCTTTTCTCCTCTTTATGTCCCCCCCCCCAGTTCTTGTTTGGGCATGCACTGAGACTAGCATTCAGGATTTCTACATTCTCTGTCTCTTTTTTAATGTTTGGATTGGCTGTTCGCCAAGGCAACTAAATAAGATTTTCAAAGAGCAGGTGAGCTTGGGGAAGATCTCTTATCTTTTCCAATATATTAACTCCCTGCAAATTAAAACAATCAGAGACCCTCTTGGAAAGCACATATAAGTGTTCCCAGGACTTCCAAATTAAAGTCCCTACAAGACACCCAACATAGTTGTCATCTTCAAGAGAAAAATACCCAGGTGTGGTGACTGCTTTTAGGAAATTTGAGAAGTGACCTACAGGTTACATTTCTGATGTGAAAACCACTTTATGTTCCTTGTAAGCAACTGTTTGATGTGTGGCATTGCAGTCATGGGTGTGAAACATCTGGCTTTAACCAGAATGTGGGTGATTTGCTCACAATTGGGGAGGGCAGGTAAATGTGGCTTTGCCTCCTGGTCTTGTATCTGGCCCAGACATGCAAATTCCTGTCTGAAAACTTATTCTTCTCTGCCAGAATTCAATAGGTTAATGTCAGCAGTTGGCAGAGGTCTGCCTGTGGTTACAGTGAGTGCCACATGGCGACAGGTAAGGACAACAAAAGGCTGCCAGAGAAGGGAGCCCAGCTTGTCTGAGGGCCAGGTAACCTTACTTGCTAGTCAGGGGAAGGAACAGGCCCTGGTTCAGAGCCAATACTGGAGTTACAGAGAACAGAACCAGAAGAAACCTAGCCAGGGAAAAGGAAAAGACATTTGTTGAGCACTTACTCTGTGCCAGGCACTATGCCAGGTCTGGGTGTGTTCTTGCACTTGAGCCCAGCAAGAGCCCCATTTTCCAGAAAGGAAAAGTGCACTCATAAGGTAAAGACAGATCAAAACCAGGAACTGGAAATGACACAAATACCACAGCACCCAGAAGCCAAAGCAGTTTGGGTCAGTTACCAAGAAAAATTCAGGAACCCGAATTCTTTATAGCCATAGTGATTGGGATCCGGAGATTTTTATCTAAGCCACTCCTTCCCTTGAACTGAATCCTTTATCAGGTCAGCTCTGCCTGTCACACCTCAAGGTTGCCAGCGCAAGGGCATAGAGCTGGTTTGGCAAGGACTTGGACCAAAAGAGGAATGGCCAGGTGCCTTTTCTTTGAAGAGTACCTTCATGGCCACATGCCATAAAACTCCAGCTTGCGAGCCAGTGAGCAAAGAGGGTCGATGAGTTGCAATAGACAAATTGGCACATGAATTCGAGCTCTACTTACACTTCTATAATCAATGCTCATGTTCTGTCATCACTAATACCTGTTGATAAATGCAAATATGCTTGAATTTCATCAACAGAGACCTCTGCCTAAGCACACTGATAACTACAATGAAAGCACAGGTCCTACTAAATTTAGGGCAGCCTGAGCCAGCGGGTTCAAGACCACCCCAGGCAACTTGGCGAGACCTCATCTCTAAAAAAAAAAAATTAGGGCGCGATAGAAGTCGCAACAGAACTGTGACACGTGACTTGTCTACATAGTCTTTCCCCACAGACAACATTAGCTCTCGTTTGTTCTTAAGCCAAAACTGTCATTGGCTCTGATCAGCAGTTAGTGGACAAACGACACTGTATTACAACATCTTGCCGCTAGGGTGTACAACTCCCACACGCATGAAAAGCAAGCCTCTCTCACCTTCAGACTGCCGGGCCTACGAGCAGAAAAGTCCAAGGGTGTGTAAAGAGTTAGCTCCTGCTTGGTCCTTTGAGGGGCTAGACAGCATTTCAAAGGTGACACACATCAGAGCGATCCGTTTACACTGGCTGGACAGTGAAACGAAGTCGGTGGGGCTGGATGAGAACCTTAAACAATGACAACACAGTTGCATTCCCAGCTGTGTTAAATGACCAGCATATCATGATTGCCTTTTCACGCAAATATCAATGACATAATCTTAACAGGCTTGCAGCTCTCTCACTGGTGTAATAAAACAATGACCCACTTATTTTCAAGGGCCGAAGCAGCAGATGCAATGACTGGGTATGTTGTGCAGGATGCTATGTGTGATGGACGGGGCACAGTAGGGCAGCAAACTGTGTGCTGAGGACTGGAAACCTGCCTCCTGAGCCAAAACTCCTGCCATTCATCTGGTCGGAAAAAAAAGTCAAGCCATTCAGTATGAAAGTTCCCACTTGTTCTCATGACGGAGGCCAGTTGGGAAAATGTGGCGCAGCACTGATTGAAGCAAATTCTGTTTAAAAAACCAGCCGGTTTGTGGGTATTTGTTTATTTATAACTCCCCCCTCTCTGCCTCCCCACACCCTGCCTCATTCTGCAAAGAATTTGAGATGGGATTGGAACACTGAAAGTTTGTTTAAGTCCTAAACAGGTCCAGCTACTTTTTAGACTGACGACAAAATGAAACCCTTTGGCTCAAGCGCCTTGCTCTGTAGAACACTGCCTCGGTTTTCCCAGTCAGTCCCCCTGCGGTGACAGGGACCGCTTGCACCAGAATACCTTTTTCTCTAGCGCTACGCTTTACCAGGGAAAAACACATGAACCCCTAAGCCCGAAGCTGGAAAAAATAAACATGGATTCACTCACTCCCTCACTCATTCGTTCATTCAACAGATACTGCTTGGTATCTATTCTACAGCAAGCTCTATTCCAGGCACAGGGAAGTAAAACTGAAGAAGACCCCACCCTTGCACCTGAGAGCTCCCAGTCTAGTAGGAAGGACAGACAATTAAACAAACCCCTGCTCTGCGGTATTACCAGTGCTGTGGTAGAAGCGTGCCTGGGGGTGGTGTGGGGCCTGCGGGTGGCATAGATTATTTAGTTCATGGACTTGAACTAATATGGCCTTGGGTTCAACTTTTATTCTGCCTTTCCCTAGCTGTGTGACCTCGGGCACTTTGCTTAACATCTCAGAGCCTCAATTCCCTCATCTGTTAAATGGAGCTAATAATAGCATTGACGTCATTGGGTTATTATGAGGATTAAATGAGATAATCTGTGTAGAACACTTAGAACAGTTCCTGGCATATAGTAAGCACCCAATAAAAACTTAGCTTTTTATTCCTTTTGTTTAATTTCATAAGACTGTGTCTGGTGATGAGACTCCAAGGACTGGTTTCTAAAACAGAACTGTTTTCAACAAACTCCTCCCTTTTAGCCTGATTTTTTTTTTGTATGGAATGACACAGTTCTGCTATGATTTTTCCCTTAACAACCATATGTCTGGCAAGAACCTCAGGAGAAAATATTTCCCAGATGGTTTTGCTTATGTCAGCCTACTATGTGCCAAGCACCACTGTAGATGAGAGGGACACATCACAGAGTGACACAGATAAAGTCCCTGTCCTCTTGGAGCTTATATTTTGGTGGGAGAGACATGCCATAAGCAGACAAATATAAATGAGAGAGAGGTAAGTGGGATTAAGGAAGCATCACTGATAAAAGGAATATTAGGAAGGGGCAGGAGGGAACTAACGTGGGTGATCAGAGAAGACTCACTTTAGGAGGTAACGTTTACATTGAGACAGAAAAGGGTTAAGAAGAAGCCTCTCATGCCAAAAGCAAGAGCAAAGACAATCCAAGCAGAAGAAGAAGCATGTGCAAAGACCCTGGGGCAGGGAAAGACTTCAGGGATGTTCTAGAAATTGAAAAGCCAGTGTGGCTAAGACATAGAGCCCTGGTAGAGAGATAAAGCAGGCAGAATTATTACATGCATTTTGAAGTTGAGGAAATGGAAAACCCAAAGAGATGAATGGACTTACCCACAATGCCTTGCACATAGTAGGCGCTCCATATGTTGTAGAATGCTCAGTCAGTAGGGCGGGGCTGAGGCCTTTTGCCTTCCAAATCGGACTGAGATTTTTCACCACAACTAGGAATCAGCTACCAGGGAGACTGAAACATACAGTCGTTTGGGTTGGTGAGTCATAGGCAACGCACATTAGAGTGTGGGGTCGAGTGGCCCCAGCTGCTGCCTGTGTGTAAGGGGCGGGGGTGGGCTGAGGCCGTGGCTGAAGCTTTTTAGCATGTTTATGATGAGCTGAAAGCACTCACTGCTTAATTTAAAATACCGCTCACACATACACATACAATTCAGCAGCTGGGGGAGCTGCCAGGAATTGAGGCTAAGTGTAGAAAATTGGAGGTTCAGGAATATCAGGTACCCAGCTCCATTCCCTAACTCCCACAGACTGTTTCTGATCTTCTGCAACCCCATCTTCCCTAGCAAATTTCAGGTGGTCAAGACATGGATGCAGACAGCGGCAGTCTGGGGAAAGGAGGCCTCTCTGGAGCCCTTTATGCCAGCCACACTGGTTGCCCAGCCCGGCCTTAAGCTTGCCTGCCTTCCTCTCCATCTATGTCTCGAAACTTTCTTGGTGAGGGTTCCCCTCGCAGCCCCTCCCCACCCACCCCCATCTTCATGCTCCCTGAAATCCAACAGTGGGGAAAACTCATTTGGCCCTAATCACAACTGCCTTTTCTGGCTGCTGATTTTCCCAGCGTGTGTATCTTGTCTGCCCAACCACACGGGGGCCTGAGGAACTGAGCTGTTTTCTTTTGCATTCACTGCAGCTCTCAGCACAGTAGTATGTACACAGTGAGAGTCTCGAGTGTGTTTGCTCGTGGGTTGTTGTATGAGAATTTCATTTGAAAAGCCTTTGGGGTGGAGTACCTGCTCTTAATTAAAAAAATAAGAACTTCAGCTTGACAAAAAACGTGGAAGACCCTCAGGGGTATCCAGTTTCCTTCCCATCGTTACTCTCCATCCAGGGTACTCTGCCTGCACGCTGGATGAACCTGCAGCCTCTCAATCAAAATGCTCCACAAGTCATCTCTTGGGGTTGTTGATCACAATATCCCTTCTGACTGGGAGGCTCTCTCCCCCAGTTCTACCTATCAAAACCCCATCTCATCTTTCAAGGTTAAATCCAAATGCCATCCTGGCATGAAGCCATCCATCCCTAGGCCAATTCATTGCTCTTGGCCCTGAGGCCCATGGCACCATGTCTACCTCTTTGATGGTACAGTCTGGTGGACTGGAATAACCTAGTTTCAAACCCCAATCTCATCACTTTCCAAGGCAACCTCAGTTTTCCCTTCTGGAAAAAGAACTCACAACATCCGCCTCAATGGGATGTTGGAAGTTGCCGATGAAATAATATCTGCTGCCCACTTAGCACAGCACTGGGCTAAGAATGTGTGACTGGGCTCGGTGGCTCAGTCTGTAATCCCAGCACTTTGGGAGGCCGAGGCGAGTGGATTGCCTGAGCCCACGGTTTCAATACTAGCCTGGGCAACTTGGCGAGACCTCGGCTCTACAATGAATCAAAAATTAGCCAGGCGTGGTAGCACACGCCTGTAGTTCCAGTTACTTGGAAGACTGAGGTGGAAGGATCGCCGGCGCCCAGCCGGTCGGTCGAAGCTGGGTGACCGTGAGTGTGCCACTGCATTTCAGCCTAGGCGACTCCAGCTCAAAAAAAAAAAAAAAAAAAGAATGTGGACTTGGGAACCAGACATATCTAGGTTCCAGGACTGGTTTGGTCATTTCTTAACTATGTGACCTTGGGCCAATCACTTCCTCTCTGAGACCCAGTTTCCTCATGTGTACACTGCAGTTATAATAGTTTACCCAACTCCCATCGCAGAACCTGTTGGGAAGGTGCAAACACATAATGAAAGCAATACAAACCACTCAACATGGGGCTTGCTGCATAAAAGTTGCTCATTCGGGTCTACACACCCCTACAACCTAGAAAACTTCTTTAAGGGAACAGACAATGTTTTACTTATCTTTGCATCTCTCACTGCCTAGCCTACCCAGAACCTTTGCAGCTGGCAGGCCCACAATAAATCACTGTTGAATTGAATTGAAAACCCAAACCAGATGTGCCTCCTCCCCTGTCAAATGAAGCTCTCAAGCTGGTGGGTTGGGCCTGCTGCCTCTTCGCTCCCCCTCCCTCCAAGCTGGGCAGCCGCCATTGTCTGGGCTTGGCTCTGGGGAATGAGGCAGGGTTGCGGGAGTGATAAGAGGTAGGGAAGGATAGCTGGGACTAGGAGGGACTAGTTTGGTAGGGAAGGGTACTCTGTCTGCTCCTCCTGACCCCAAGCAGATTGCCTTTGAAGGGCGCCATCCTGAAGTCTCTGTTGAACGAAAAGAGGTAAGCATCTGAAAGCCCTTTGTCACCCAGTGCCTAACTGTGGAGAAAGCCTGGCTCTTCCGAAACACCATAAACAGGAAGTAAATTAAAGTATCAAGAGAAAGTACCTCCTCCTTTAGCGGAGATAGTGATACTGAGGTTCAGAGAGCTTCGGCTCTGAAATCATGAGACCAAGATTCAAATCTGAGTTCAGTGGGCACCATGGGCACACTCTAACCACTTGGCAATATTGCCTCTAGGCTAGTCTTTCTGTAGAAGGACAGAGGTGTGCGCTTACCCTTCCCCGGAGACCCCGGAGAGCAAAACATAGAGCTTTATGGGGAAAATTACTCCAGATAGTACAAATCTGTTGTAAGACTATAAAAAGAGGTCCATGTCTTCAATATTTCGGAGCTAGAGCTATGTAGATAAAACACAGTGGGTAATATAGCCAGCATGATGTCGGGGTTACAAGCCAGACACCAAAACATGACCACCTGGATTGTAACTCTGGCTTTTTCACATACTAGCCCACCTAGCCCCAGGCAAGTGACAACCTCCCTGTGCTTACATTTTCTCACCTGTCCCAGGGTTGCCTGTGAGGATTAAATGATCTAATGTTTGTAAAGCATTTATCATATCCCTGGCACAAAATGAACACTAAACAATTGTTACATAAAAATAAATACATACCTCTGTCCCTCTATAGTCAGACTAACCTAGAGGCAGGGAGGCCAGTGGTAGAGCCCACTGAACTCAGTTTCGAATCCTGGTCCATGATTTCAGAGCTGAATATCTATGCACCTCAGTTACACCATCTCTAGCAAGGGGATATTAATTGTCCCTTCCCCAAAGGCTGTTAAATGAGATATCCCCAAAGTCCTGAACACAGTGCCTTGACACAGCAGAGTGAGCAAGCACCCAGTAATGGCAGAGTAGTCATCACCCGAATCTTGGATTTTGGAGAGTGCTGCTCCCCCTCCCCCCCTATTTTTTAGCCTCTTCTGGGTTAAAAGTTAATACACGATATGTAGTTTTGGAAATCTTTCAGCAGTAAAGGAATAATTTCATCATTTTGCCAATGGAATTCCTAAACATTGTATTCAAGAGCCAGAAAAAGGAAGCATTTTTGGTCATTTATATACCAGCCAGGCATGGACAGTCAGTTTCCCCACTCACCAAACCTGACTCCCAAAGCTGTAGAAGTCACTTTGCAGGACAAAATTGAAGGAATGAGTATTTTACTGCAAACAAAAGTGATCTTTGTTTGCTGCCCAACTTTGGAAGAAAAAAATACCTCAACCCAGGAGCTTGGAAAATTCTTGAAAGTTCTCATTTTATTCCAGCAAATCCAGCCTAGTTGGCAAGACTCCCGGCCATGAGAACCTGAATCAGAATGAGTCGCCTTTATCCACCCCTCTTTCCACAGCACCCAGAACCCAGCAGGGTGCACTGTGCATCAATACATATTGGTTGTAGGTTTCTTTATGGGAGCCCAAGATTCCATTTCTACAATGTCTGCTAGATTGCCAAGACGCTCGAACAGCAGTACTAAAGAGCATTTTGAAAACGGGGGGGTAAAAAGCATCCATCAACTCACCACTCTAACACAACTCTAAATTTTGTGTGGAAAGTTCTCTCCCAGTCTTGATCCACGTGCAGACATATTTTCACAGCACTGTAGTCATGGGGAAAAACTGCAGCAGTTTCAGCCAAGAACCAGATACCATACAGCTCATGTCACTAAATTTTCCAAGTGAAGGCTCTTTCTTCCCTCATTCACTCCATTCATTCAGACAGTCAGTCAGTCAGTCAGTCAACAAACAGATTTAACCAGTCTCTGGTGCTATGGCCCAGGAGAGTGCAGAGGCATAGTCCCAGTCCTCAAGCAGTTCCTAGTTTAGTGAGGGAAACAGACAAGTCAGCAGGAAATTATAGTGCACTGGGATCAATGAATAAATGCTGTGAAAGCACAGAAAAGGCTCATTTAAGGTGGTCAGGAAAGGGGTGCAGAGCATGGGGGAGACCAGAAGGTACATATATAAAAGCACAGAGTCAGAAGAAGGCAAAATGTCATCAGGTGGCCAAAAATAGTTCTGTGGGGCTGGATCATCGGCAGGTGGCAGTGGATGTGGTGAGAAAGGAAGAAGGGGCCAAATTGTGAAGATCAAAGAAATCTGGTTTCATTCTGAAGACTGTGGGAAAGCTTTGGAAGGACTTTAAGCAGGGTCATAGCAGTCAGATGTACATTTCAGGAAGGTTGCCCCAGCAACAGAATGGAAGTTGATCGAAGGGCATGAAATAGGTAACAGGGGACCATTTAGTAGCCTATTGCAGTAATTCATCAAGATAAGGACGGTCTACATGAATGAGACATCTTCTCCACTTACAAACTGTGTCACCTTAGTGAGTGACCTGAATTATCTGTGTCTCAGCCTGCTCCCCTGTACAGCAAGAATAACAAGAACATCACCTTTGTGGACCTGCTGGGGTGGGGATGGGGATTAAATGAGATACTGCATGCAAAGCACCTAGCACAGTGGCTGGTACCTCAAAGACCCTCAGTACATGTCACTTCCCCTTCCCCTCATCCCTTTTGTCCACCTCACTCTTCCTCAAAGCTGGCACAATATGGAGCAAGGAAGTGGCCGAGGCAGGACTCTAACCCAGACAGTCTGACTCCAGAGGGCAGTGGAGAAACTTTGAAAGTGCTGCTGTCAGGACAGTTACTTAGAAAGATTGTTTAGCCTAGTCAAGGGC